ATTTTGAAAGACTTTTCGAAAATTACTTTTGGAACAGTAATTTACCTAACTGCTGATATTGGTCATTTAATCTGTTTACAAGCCGCTCTGCTTTGAAGTAGGCAGCAAACTGGTCCGTCGAAGATAAAGAACCAAGTTGCTGCCTTCCTTCCTGAAGCTCTTTCTTAACCTTTTCAATTTCATCATCCTCTGGTGTTTTATAATGCAAAAACTGAGAAACCTGAAAAATAGCTGGATTAGAAATAAAACGCTGTCTTCCATAATGCGTAAGGTTAATACGCGACAATCAATTCCTCTTATTTATTTCCACCTACCCCATTTCACAAAGAAAAAAAAATTATCGTTTAAAATGTAATTTTAACACACCGCAATGAGAGAAGAAAGTGTAAAAACGCGTTAAATAAATAAAAAAAAACTCATTCTTAAACAGAAAAAAATTGGTGGACAACGAATTTACACCAAAAAATGATTTCAGTTCCGTACTATACTTGCAAAAAAAGCCTATGAAGAAGATCTTACTTTCGCAGATATGTAGTTTGTGACTGCAATGAAATTAGTAAATAATGCAGAAGCTAAACAGCAGGTAAAAACTTGTAAAAGGCTGAAGTCCCAAAGTGAAGACTGCTCCAACACGACACTTCCGCCAGCAGTCATTTGAAATTCGTAGGATATTTCCGCCGTTGCGCGTAAAACTAAACCCTAGCCTTCGAGAACTATAAGAACAATGATCAAATGAGTATCTCTTCTCAAGTGTACCTACCAAACTACTAAGAGATTACCGAAGATCATATAAATTGGTTGAAACAGATGTTACCTTATTGATATTAACAGTAAAGAAAAAAGAAAAAGAAGAAAAAGTATGCAGCAACTCACTTCACGTCCCAAAATAAAATTCGATCCACCTGTAACGTCACTTTTCGTCGCCAAAATCGTTTAACTACAAATAAGCTATTCTAATTTTGGTCAACTGTAAAGTTATGACCCCGACCAAACCATAAAAACAGAGAAAACCAACAAAATTACAATACCACATAATCCAAATTTTCAAAAACACCTACTGCTCGATTTTGTAGTACACAGAAAAACGCCTTAACTGGTATAAAATGTATATTCCACAAAGCTCCCAAAAATAAACTACGACAAATGAGTTATATAAACCAAAATTAGGAACACTGACTATAAAGGCGACTGATTTCCAGAGTTTTGAAAGATGGTTATGTAGTGTCCAAAATAAATGCCTATACAAATTGATAGCCCTTCAAGGTGGCGTGTTTTAGGGATTTTCAACAGAAAATCAACAAACGTTAAAATTTAAAACATTGTTCTTTTCCACGCAACTAAGCACCTTCTGGTTCTCCAAATGTTCATGTCCTCTATTTCTCAAAAACTTTTGCACATCTTAATTTTCTCTCACAAACTTGAAAACTAGTGTAAAATTCTCACTTTAAAAAAACTTTCTGCTGGACCCATTACACTTCGAGCTGAACGAGGAATTAATCAGCAAATGCATTACAAAAAGAAAACAGGATAGAGTTGTCAAATGCCTGGTTTCGACAGTTACGTATTCGGACCAGCAGCCCAATACCATAAACAACATCAGCACTGTCCGCTCTAGTTAAAGCAATGCAGGGTGGCGATTCAACTTAACAACGCGAAGATAGAATGTTCATGTTCCAAAATATATTTGGTTATCTTAAGCCAATCTTCTCTTCACAGATCATCTGCTCACCGCCGCTTCAACTTGAAATTTGTTAAATCTTGTGAAAAGAAAAATCCTACGCGAACGCGACTTTGAAGAAAACTAAAAACCTGGTCCTCCTAGCTTTTTTGAAAATATGATTTTGGCATCCTTTTTTTAGTTACAAAATAAGGATGAAATTAAGTCTTCAAAAGTAAACGGAATTTCCAACGCTCTCGATTCTGCCTATTTAAACGAATTAGTCGCCATTTGCTTGAAAGCAGAAGTTGCATAAACAAATCACAGTGACCACTTTTCTAGGTCATGACCGTCTGGTGCAAATGCAAACTGCAGTGTTCGTCGACCACGGTTCCGAGTCTGGCTTATCAGGCCTAAAAACCTGTTTGCAGTTCACTTAGCATGCTCTTATAAACTGTGCTAACATGCCTATTCTAAGAGATGTCGCAGATCAGCAGCGGAACCTAGATTCTTGTACAAATCGTTTTCGTATTAGCATCGCATGCATGGTTTGCGAACTTCAAAGCATCACGGGTAATGGAGAAAGTATACCTCGTACTGTAAGCACAAACCAAGATTCCCGAGAACATAGCATTCTGTACGGTTT